CTGCTCCGCCAGGGAGGGCCAACAATGTATTTTAATGATCTGCATGAATAGGACTACATTATCAGGATGGCCGACTGAGGAAGAACAAAAGACTCTTCTTGCTCTTTCCCTCCCTAGCCCCTGGCAGGATTGGTCCCTGGTGAAGAAACTTCTAGTTGGGGCTCTGTGCTATACCAATGGGTTCCAAATAGGCCTGGCATCTGTTTAGCTTGGTTGTATGTTTGATTCCACCCCCCCCTCCCCGCCCCAGAAGCTGCAAAAGCACTTCACCCAGAGCTTCACCCAGCCCTGAATCCCCAGCACTGTCAGAGGGGCTGGAGATACAGCACTGGACAGAAACAGACAAGTTCCTGCTGTGTGGTGTTGACACAATCAAAGGAGGCCAAAAATACGCAAGAAACTGTAAGAAGGACAGTGATGTTACAAACTGCATGGAAAAATGAAGCCATGAAAAGGAGAGAGAGAACACGTTTAAGTCAGAGGTGTTTAAAATGTGGGGAATCCCTACCTTTGACGTAGCTATTATGTTTGTTGGTTCATCTCCCCTCCCGTGATCCCCTTTTGTCACTTTTTGGATCGGTGCTCAACAGCCCTCCTCTCTCTCCACCCTGTGCATCTCTCCCTCTAGCTTCCGGCCATTAACTTCGAGAGCACCCCAAACAGCATGACAAAGTCTGAGCCAGCCGTCAAGGTGGGCGGACACAGAGCTCGAGGTCAGTGGCACGAGTCCACCGAAGCTGTTGAACTTGAAAATTTTAGGTAAGAAATCCCGAACCTTCTGTGCCTTCACCCACAGATTCTGATCAGCCCGAAGCTTTGTTTCTCACAGGAAGCCTGCCTTAGAGCCTATTTCGCAATTTACCACGGGAGTTCTTGATTTAATCACTGTAGCTCGTGCCTAAACCATGCCCAGAAGTGATGCGTAAACAACAGTTTGGTGGCCGCAGGAGGACCTGACGTGGGGAGGTACTCTGAGAACATTCGCTGACGCACAATTGGCTTTTGCTCTATGAGGAAGTGGTTCCAGATTGTTGACCCAATGAGGCTGGCTCCCTGCTTTGTCTTCGGCTCCTGGTCTGTCCTATCTTGCCTACATAAAGGCTGTTGCTGTGAACAGATGCGGGAGCTGAAGGCTGTGGTTGTCAAAATAACCTAGATTTCCACTAGGTGTGGAGGGATCATGCTTCACCTTCAACACCCAGAGTGTCGGCCGTGTTTGTCTCTCCTGTCACCATGCACACAAGCAGCAGCCACACATTTCACAGCCACTCCCTTTCCAGGAGCTGGTTCTCTCAGGTTTACAGCATGGAAGGTCCTTTTGGCACTGAAAGCTGTGTAAATAACGAATGGCTTGAAATCTCATCATGAATATTCCAGAATGATCACTTATTTATTTGGCCTACATTTTGTTTCCCTGTCCTTTTATGACAATGGATTTAATCACCCACAAAAGTCACAGGTAGCAAATTGAACCTGGTGAACACTTTATTCTCTAAAAATCGTTCCATATTCATTCTTCCTGATTCTATTTATTAAGCAAGGGCTGCAGTCTTTACCTGGGGGGTAGCACAAGGCCTTAGAGCTGGTGTGTTCTCTAATGCTAGGCTAGGCCCTGCACCTGGGCCTAGCTCCTAAAACTGGCCTATTTTAATATGCACAGAAACCATGTCACACATTCTCTGGCAGTGTGAATCTGGTGTGTCTTCATTCTGGGCTCCCAGTTTTGAAGTAGGGTCTTTTGGGGGTGGTATTTTAAACCTCTTTGATGGGCTGTAATATAAGAAAAAAAGAAGTTGAAGCTGAGATATCTCAAATCTCAAGACAATGTAGCACACACACATTATCATATAAATAATCAGCAACCACAAAAGCCCTCACAGTTGAAGAGGTGCAGATGTTTCCTCCACCTCGTTCTCTGCAAGGAAATGTGAGTGAGTGCTGAGAACTCCAGCCACTGCAGAAGCCAGAGAGGCTCTGGGTGGGTGGAAAGCGACCAGAGAAAATTCTTCTCTGTTGCACAGTGGTCCAGGTAGTACGAGCTGCTCTGCTTTCTCTCCACATGTCCCCTTCCTCCCCCTGCAAATATCAGCTAAGGGTTAATAGGGAATAATTTAGTTGATACGGTAAGATGAAACGTATAGGCTTGACTCTAATCCATTACATCATTACATGTCTGTTTCCTATTTTATCTTTTCTGCATTGGTAACTTTGAGGCAACCTCAATAATTGTTATTACAAAGTGTTTTCCTGTTTGTTTCATCTCAGTATAAACTACAAGAATGAGAGAAATTTCAGCCAGCATCCCCAGCATAAACTCTTTCTGGAGATCTTTACGGCCTTGGTGAAAAATAGGCTCATATGCAGGTAAGATTGTCCCAGCAAAGGTAGACATTGGCCTAAGACTGTTGTATTTTAGATATCTTATTTCCAGAAACTAGTAGTATGAAGCAGTTTACAAGATTGGACACAACGTACTTCAAGGATAAAAAATAGAGCAGAAGCCCGTTAGATAGCTCTATTTTATGCACATGACCTCATTACAGTTACCCTTGCTAGGTTGGTCCTGACCTGAGCTGAATTTTTTGATCCATAGGGAAAAGTGGGTAAACACTCAAGTACATCATTTAACTTATGAATTTGGATTCTCAAGAGGAATATTTTTGGTGGGGTCTTTGTTGATGGAGACACCGGGTAATTCTAAAGCTTACATCCTCATGGTGTACTTTTGTGGTTGATACAAGGACTGGTTAAATGGGCTGCCCCAGTCTGGAACTTGGGGAGCAGTTGAGTGTGTCACAACCAGTCACAGCCCAGTGGTGATGCTTCTCAGGATTAGACCAAACATCTTTTCCTCAACATGGTCATAACTGGGGGTAGTGTTGGGACTGATAGTTAGTGCTCTTGACTCTCTCGCAAATAGAACATCAGGGTTTTCAGTGAATCATTGCCTGGTGTCAGTTTGTAATCAGGACTGAATTTTCTGTCTGTTGCTGGCTGCTGGAAGTGAGAGCTGGTTATGCTGCTACAGACGTGAAAGAGGCTGCCTGTCCTGGTAGAATTTGCCTTCTACTTTCCCAGGAGGCTGAGGCCTAGGCCCCACTGGAAAGATGCCTATTGGGAACCTTGAATCTTCTCATCACGTTGAGACTTGATTGAGATATCCAATTCTGTCCCATTTGGGAGATGGCAAAAAATTGCTCCTATTCTGGAAAACAGGAGAAATATTAATAAATGAATGCCTGAAACAAAGTGGAAAGTCTGACTTGGTCCAGTGCAGTAGCTGGCTTTCAGCAGAACTGCATCCTGATTGGTCCTCCATGATGAATCAGCTACTAAATATAGGCCTAAGTAGTGGCCTAACAACTTGGCTTTTTGGATGTGGTTATTTTGGATTGTGTGTTTAGTATTGGATAATGACAGCCAAATACACTGGCTAGTTTAAAGCCATCAAGGATTAGGCCACTGCATCTATTGTGCCTTTGTACTTGGCTTAAGCAAAGGATTGTCAAGCTGGCTCAGATGACACAAGAAGCCTAGAAATTTGGCCAGTTTCATAATTTGATTTCTTCTCAGTTTTTGACAATAATATCAGAGTGTTAGAGGTTAATGAGCACTACAAAGCACCTGAAGTTGTCCTCAACTGTCCTCTCCTTGAGCCTGAACAGAGTAGAACAATCGTTAGTAGAATAATAATGTCCAAAATGGTGTTAGGAAATGAATTTCCTTAATATTTTTGAACTCAGCTGTCCTGAACTCTTCTTAGATATCAAGGGATAGCTAACTGGCTCTTTATTGGGTTGCTGCTTTGGAGGAGCACAGACCTCCGGGAACGTCTGACGGCCACTTGATGTAGAAATTGTCAGGGACGATCACTGGGCAAGGGTTGGCATCTCACAGTTGGAAAAGATCTTAAGAATTCTGAAGTTGGAGCCTCCCTGGTGGCACAACAGATTGAAGCATGGCACTATGAAGCTATTGCAGCCACTACAGCATGAGTTCAATCCCAGGCCAGGAAGGTGACACTCAAGGCTTGGCAGACCTCTCCTGACCTGCCTGCTGCTCCCCTCAGCAGTGTATGTCATCAGTCTGCCTGTTCTTCTCCCTACTCTGTCTCCAGTGAAGTCTCTCACCATCCCTGCACCTCTGGCCTGTATGTATAAATAAATAAATCTTTAAAAAAAAATGCTGACATCAACAGACCTTCAAGCAAAACCTTTTCAAAATCTTTGTGATTAATGAGGCATCTTAGTTGGATGGAGGTACTGGATGACAACATGAGCCATCCCTGCAAATCTTCACACTAGGAAGAGATGATGGTAACCTTCTTCATTTTCACAGTAAGAGAAGCAACTTAGGTGCTTGGTGTTTTGAGAGCGTCATTTTGTGTCATTCTTTCACCACTGTTCACTTTTATTCTAGACACAGTGCTAGCGCTGGGTGAAAATGGCATCAGTTTGAAGGCCTTCCATGGTCCCCATCCTGGATAGCTTTGCTAAATGGCCAGACTACCATTTCCCATTCCCTTCTAGTTTGATGTTTAGAGAAGACCTGCAACATCCCAGGACCTTTTCTTGTATGACTTCCCCAGCCTTATCTTTCTGAATGTGGTGTTTAATGCTCACTGGATGGCTTGGATTCAGTCCAGTAAAGTGAGCTTCTGTTATGTGCCAGAAAGAGAGGGAGTAAATGGTAGGAAAGGAGGAAAGGATGAAAAGACAAAGATGAATAGGATCCCTTTCTTCCTAGGGACCCAGAGTCTACTAGGGTCAGTCAAAGAGATACCCACTATCCTTATTCAAGGGAAAATATAAATTACTAATACTACTGAAGGCTAGATGAGATGGGATGTATGTGGATGCTGGTCTTTGATCCAGTTCTTGTCATAGACAAGATTGGGCATTTCAGGATGTTACACCATTTAATTTTACCATGAGAATATTGAGGATTTAGTCTTATCTGTGAAGTGAATCTTTCCAATTTCTCAGTGCTGTGCTTCAACCTGCTGCACCACCAGGGAGGGTTCTGTCCAATTTCCTCTCAGTTAATGCTCAATTGATGTTCTATTGGACCTTGCCCAACTTCAGTCTTCCCCTAACCCCAGTTTTAGATACCTCCTTTGTGAGTCCTTTCCCTAAAATTGAACTGTGATTACTCCCTTGTTCTTAGAAATGAAAGTGCCAAGTGGCATCTGAAGCAAGACAGGACTTGTTAATCTAAAGTCAGATAAGGCACTGCAAATACCTCATGGTAGCTCTCAAAGGGCAAGTGACAATATTGCCTCTGAACCTAAGGTTACTCGTGGGTACATGTGGTATGGAGTCTTGAAGTCTGGCACAGTATTGAAGCACATTATAATTCCAGTAAATATCACTGGTCTACCACAGAGTCTGCTGATAGAAAGTAAATCCCCCCTTTTAATTTTTTTATTTTTTAAGATTTATGTATTCATACAGAACTGGGGTACAGGCCAAAGATGTGGAAGGTGAGAGGATGCACCAGAGACAGAGCGGGGAGCAGAACAGGCAGATTGACAAAGTACACTGCTGAGGGGAGCAGCGGGCGGGTCAGGAGAGGTCTGCCTTGCCATGTGGTCGCCTCCTGGGCAGGCGGGAATTGAACTCATGTGGAAGTGGCTTAAGCTTCTTAGTGCTGTGCTTTAACCCGCTGTGCCACCAGGGAGGGCCTAAATCCCCCCTTTTTAATCTCATCTGTTCAGGAAAGCACTAAGTGTGCACGAGATCCAAGACTTAAGGTTATGTAGGAAAGACCTACTTGTTGCAAAATTGACATATTGTCCAGTTACTGACCATTTATAAAGTTACCCCCATTGAAATATCTCTTCTATGTAAATGTTCCTCTGAGTTCTCTTTTTGTTAATTCCAAAACTAGAATAGCCTTTAACAATTCCTTGCCTAGGGAAAGGAAAGGCTGGTCCTCTGGGCCAAGTCTGTCAGATAGTCCCAGCCCATAGAATATATTCAAGTCAGGACCACAAATTGGATAAGGGTTTATGCAGGTGCAAAGAGTCTTGGGTTTGGGTCTTTAGATACTTAAAAAAATCTTCTAAAGGGCAGAATATAATTTAAGCTCCTTAGCTGGGTCACAAAGTGCTCAGAGATCTTGTTCCTTCTTGGTCTCATCCCTAACTCCTGCTCTCAGGGTCCTTTGGGCGTGCCAAGGGTAAAGAGAACCCCTTTTTCCTTAGAAAGGTGCCCTTTCTCACCGCTGAGCCGTGGCCCAGGCTAAGCCTTGCTACCTTTCTGCCTTTCTGGTGGTTCTGAACACTCAGTGGGCCTGACCCTCTTTCTCCGCCCTTTCCCTTTCTGTTCCTCTGCTCTTCCTCACACCACAATGAGCCCCTGCAGAAAAGACCTGAGTGTCTTCATAACGTGGAATTTCTTTGTGCTGAATTATTTTGCTCAGTAAATATAGAAAATCATAAAAAGTGAAAACTTACTCTCTACTGCTCTAAGAAATAGGATCAGTCGTTCTTGCTATGTATTTCCTTTTCTTCAGGATCAAATTGTATTTTTTAAATTATTTATTTTCTCACATTGTTGTTAATTTTGGGACAGTTTCATTTCTCCCCTCAGCTGTCATCCCCATAAATCTCCCACCACCACAGTCCCTTGTGCTCTTCCCTCCAGGGTGAAATTTTAAAAGCACCTGGTTCATTGGCTCAGCATCTTTAGGTCTTTTGTCTCTTCTTTTGTTCTAAGTTTCACAAACTTAAATGTGGAAAAGGAAGAAAATAAGCTCAAGATCCAGGATCTTATGGCAACTCATGACCTCTTGTCTCCCCATCATAATTTGGAGAAAATATCTAACTCTTACATCTATTTTTTCCTTAAATGTTATCTTACATTTTGCCCTGAACTTAAAAGTGTGTATATGTGGATCAAAAAGTTAAATGCCAAAATGTTCCACATATACATACATAGGATGCAATTGGGCGCATGCGCGCACACACACAGACTCACAATGCCATCAAACTATTGACATAGAATAGATCTTGAAAACAAAAATCCAGCCTGGCCACATTTGATAGATGTGATAGTTGACATTAATCACAAGTCCAGGGTCCTGAGGCAAAGTCTTGACTGACGACCTTTTCTCAAATATCTCATTGATTCCTGATCCTCTCTTAGTCAAAGTACATGGAAAAGTTCTTTCCTGTTTTGTACCACACAAAAATATCACTTCAATAATCATGTTTTCTTTTCCCTACTAGCCACTACTGTTTCTTATAAAACTTATTCACTTGGCTACCAAGGCATGAAATGAAAATGTTCCCACCTTTCCAGGAAGAACTGTTTGCTCTTCTCACATATAAACTACCAGAACCAGTTTTCAACCTGGCCAGATGAATAAATGACACTTCCCATCACTGTGCTAGGTCCTAAGGGCCAGGCAATAAGCAACAGACACCTTCCAGGAATCACATTTCCAAAGCTAAAGTCAACCAATCCCCGAGCTCTCCCCTTTGTGAAGGTTTGCCTATCGCTGAGTGACCCATCAGTTTTCATCTGAGATTGTGCCTTATAAGTCCAGCCCTTTCTTGCTGTAAATCATCTTTTGTTTTGCATATGAACTGGTGGACTGTTTCTTCATCTGGCTTCTCCAGTGTAACGTGCCTGAAACAGGACTTTGACTTACACTCCCTCAGCTTTCGTCTTCTCTATCTATTAACCTCGTCTAAGCTGCCATGGCCTCTTGCTGGGGCAATACAGTAGGTTACCTGGGCGCTCTGCTCTGTTCTTGACTCCCCACACACACTTGTCAACACCACATCCTTTGAAAACCTGTCAGCCCATGTCAGTCCTTCGCTCAAAGTCATCCTGTGACTTTCCATAATCAAAGAAGTTCAAGGTCCCTATTCCTGTTCTACAAAGTCCTACAGCACTGAGCTGACTCCTGCTGTTGGTCTAATTTCAGTTCTAGCACTCTGCCTTTGCGCATTCTGCTCCAGCTCCATGGGCTTCGTTCCTCTTGCTTCTTTAAACCACGGTGCACCTTCTCAGGGACTATGTACTTCGCTCTCCCACTGATCCTACCCAGATCTGCTCAGTTCACTCAGGCAAATCTCGGACCACCCTAAAACAGCATCACCATGGCTCCCTAAATCCTAAGCATTCATTGGTCACCACCTGCTTTACATTTTAATTTATTTGTGTTTATTATCTGTCTTCTCACTTTGGAAAGTCACCCCAGGAAATGCGAGAGCCTGGTGTTATTCTTCGCTGCTCCCTAGGCCCATCACAGCGTCTGGCTCCCAGTAAGTCATGAGTACATGCTGAGAGCATTTTGCCATCTCTGTGGAGAAACACCTAGAACACAGTCCTTTCTGTTCAGTGACTCTTTGGTTTTAGGAACCAGCAGGTGCATTTGATAGACTTTCATTGGCTGCCTATTTTGGGTAAATATCTCACATATAGTAGCTTTAGTCTTGCTTATCTATTTTGATGGGAATTTTACCTATTCAACTATCCCCCCAAGAATAGGGCTCTGTTTGTGAAGTTGAGGTAAGACATTTTGAAACAGGCTTGAATCCCCATACCTTAAAGTTTGAGTCAAAGCTGGCAGTTGTTAATGTCTATATGTTAACATAATTGATGTCAGTGCATATTAACATGCATCTAGCATCTTTATGTATGTTAACATACATCTTGTATGTTAATGAAAACAGCACAAGGTGAAAAAGACCATTTAAATGACACTTACTGTGATGCTACACCTTAATGCTGCGTGAGCCCAGAGGGAAGCCTGTTGACCTCTGAACACCTGCCCAGCCCCTGGGTTCAGTTAGCGCCAGGCCACTCAGCTCCCTCTCATCGTGATCATGTGCAGCTTTCTTTGATATTCAGCACAGAGCTTGGGGACTGATTTTCAGTACCCAGCCTGGTGACTGAATTTTACACGCAGCTCTCCCAGCCCATGCCAATTTCCTCCACTGCGCAAGAAGGAGAAGGCCCTCTACTCCTCTGTACAGACTCTCTCCGTGGGGCCATTTCTCTTTCTCTTTTTGTCTTGATTGCAGCAAATGGCCTCTAATGCTGAAAGCAATATGGCAGCTGGACATGGCCCAAGGCTGTGGGAACTGACCACACAGACATATATTAATAGTCCTGTGAAAGCAGTGGGCAAATCCAGTCACAAGAGGGGATAAATATTTGCCTGTCCATGGATTCTGTGTGGCTCTGTGGCTGCTATCCTGAGACACGTCCTGAGGGAAATACTGTCTTTGCCCGGGGACAACTTTTTCAGAGCTGTGACGAAAGACTCTGCTCCCCTCTGTGAATGTATTTGAAAAGTCACTTCCTCTTTAATTTTCCTCTGTGTGGGATGTGGGGAGAGGCGAGGGGTGCCAGGAGCCCCCGCCCTGGAGTCAGGCACTCTGCTCTTTGCCAGTGTGCAGCTTGGGGCTGACACTCACTTCCACTTGGTGACTGGAGTTACTGCTCAGTGAAATGAAGGTCCCGGACCTTGCCATATGTCACCTTTATTCTCTGCCACTTTCTTTGTACTAAGTTGTACATTTCCTACTCCCCTAATTCTTGGCCCACAGATATCATCTTACAGAGCACGCCATTCCCCTCAAATACCAGATCTTTGTGTCCTTGTGGGGGTTAAGGGCTGAGAGCCAAGGAAGGGACATCTGCTTCCTCAGAGGTCAGCGTGCCAGAGGACTAAGACACCAGGAATTCTATTTACATTTACAGCAGCAGCAGAGGCCATGTAGAAATATTAATAGCTTTGGGCTTCAGGCCCAAAATTGCAAAATGAAAAACAAAACAAAACAAAAACAAAAACAAAAAAATACCATCTGCTTGGAACAGAACTTTCAACTCAGATTTTTCTGGAACTCTTAATTTATATATACTCCATCTCCATTAATAGTAAAAACAACCTATTCTGGAATTTTTTGCTTTTTTTTTTTTTAGTGGAAGGATGTGACAGAAAATAAAAACTTCGTGTATTTACTGTAATATGAAAAAATGTTAGCAAGGTCATGGCCTTTGGTCATGCAGGTTGCATACTGGTAACTGGAAAGGCACCAGGGCACACATACCTGCGGAATGAATCAGCTCTTATTATTGCCCATGACTTTTCCTCTTAAATAATGAAAAACAATCTGCATTAAACCTCCTTAGGTTGCCAGCAGCTGTTGAAACTTGATCAGGATTTCTGTTAGATCTTGCGGATGCAGTATCCTTTGCAATTCAGGCTGTGTGCTAGCTGTAGTGAGCCCCCAGCACCCGAAAGGGGATCTCTTTCTGTGCCAGGTCCCTCTTCATGTTGATGAAAGTTGTGTTCTCTGTAATGAGAGCCCCAGAAAAACCACACCCTCACATGTGGGCCTATGGATGAACTAAAAATTAAAAATGTATTCAAAATGCATGATTGCCCCACAGCAAAGGGGTCAGGATGAGCCACTGTTGAGCTTCCTGGTGTAGCCTGGATAATTCTGCTTGGCTGGCAGCCCTGGGGCTAGTTGAGTTCTTCCTTTATTTCCTGAAGAAGCTGAGCCAGATCTGTGCTGGGGTGTGCTAATCTGTAAGAAACTCTCAAACATCCGGGAATATAAGGCTATGGGGAAAACTTACTTTCAGCCTTCTTTCCATGAGCTAAGTCTATGGATAGAAGGGATGGTGAATAATAGCTTAGTGTTGAGTGGCTACTTGAGGGTGACACTTCCCATCGCCGTGACCCCAGGTGTCCATCCTGCCTTCGAGGTGAGTGGGTCTGGGGCATTCAGGTTTGCAATGTTCAACAGAATTTCTCAGGATCAAGAGGAGTCAATGCTGAATTCTATCACCCAAAGCCTATGGGACAAGCCAGGCGAGGGTTTTGCTCCACACCACACCACAAGCCAACGCTCCACTTGACTAAGGGGCAGATCTCAAAAGTATCCTGACTTTGCTCGCTGCACACCCAGCTCCGTGGCAGAGGTGGATGGGGGTGAGGATCTCTGGGAGCCTAGGCTGGAAGGACTTCTGCTTTCCTTCTCCCGTTTTTCTGGGCCAAGTCTGAGCAAGCAGGTACACTTCGTTTTAGGTAACATTTGCACCAAGGACAAGCATGGAGACCAGCCTGGGTGATAGATGATGGCAGGTGGACGCTGGTAGCCAGTTTCCAGCTACTTCCAGCTCAGGCCGTTTCTCCTTTCTGGAGCCTAGATTGGGCTGCGTAGAGGCTTCTGCTCTATGTCCTATGCCTTGGTTAGGAAGGTTGCATGTGGCCTGGCCTCTGTCACATCAGAGAGCCTCTCTAATTCTCTGGAAGTTTCCAATGCTCAAAAATCACAGCAGCTGTTACAGGAAGTGCCCTGGGCACCTGCTCACGGGAGGAAATCCCAGAGCCTGCCTCCCTGTGGGACAAGGGGGTGTCACTTAAACTGCAGAGTCCCAGTGGGGTCAGGCATGGCCAGGACTTGGCCCGAGAAGCATCCTCATGCGGTGTGCCCTCTCCTTGTCTTCCCACCACCATCTCCAACTCATTCCCTCATCCACTATCACTCCTTGTATACCAGTGTTCATCTCAGGATCTGTTTCTGGGGAGACTGATCTTGGCAAATGCTCTATCTTCAAGCTTCCTAAATTGCGCCCCAGAAGGCAGAGAGCCCCAGTGGTGTCAGAAGTTTTAAATTTCCCAGGAAAACCCAGTTGTAACGCTACATACACCAGATGCAGCTGCGTGTTCACCCCAGCGGGAGACGCCCCGCAGCCTTCGTTAGGCCCAACGTGCTTCTTTGCAAAGCTCAGTTTTCAGAGTTTGCTGTGACGAAAAGCAGGTACTCCGAAGAGCGGTGGGAGAGGAAAAGTGCATTCTGAGCTGATTGTCAGGCTGGATAAATTGCAGAGGGACATGGGGGGCACACACCTCACTGATAAGTCCATGTAGCTATTTTAGAACAAAATAAAAATAACTTGCATTTAACGTGTGTATGTTCTTTTCCCAAATGAATACTAATCTTTAAGGCATAAATTCTTAAGTTGGACCTAATTCTTAGCACTTGTAGGTTTTTCTTTGGGGTCAGAACCTGTTCTGAGTCAGTAAGGACCCTGGTGAACCTATTAACTTGGGGCGTTCTGCTTCATAGTGATGGTTTAATTTTATTTTGCTCTAAATCTCATCAAGTGTTTAAGTCCCAAGTAACAGTGTGAGATGAACGGCTGCTTGTTCCTTTGGTAGTTTCCGAGTTCGTCTTCATACCCTGGAAGCCTGATGCTGTTCTAAGCCGTCACTGTGGTCATTTAACATGGCCATGTTCTCTCTTGTTTTCTTCTTTCAGAGAGTGGGTGAATCGAGCCCCATCTATTCACTTTCTGAGAGTGTTGATCTGCCTGAGACTGTTAACGAGGGATCCCTGTTACCAGGTTCGTTGGAAAACATAAAAATCCTTTTTACTTGCAATGAAGTTAAAGTGAAGAAAGGGTTGGGCTCCCCCCTCACCCCACCCCCCGCCCAGTAAACCATGTTCATATTTTCTTCTCTCTCACCACTCCACTGCTTCCAAATTTGGCAACTGTCTTGCCTGCTACTTAAACAGATATGAGAGAAATGATATAATGTGAACAAGAAGAAATCTGAAGTAGCTGTTTATTAAGGGGTCTGTGCTGGCGTCATTACTGGCACTTTAAACTTTCCGCTGTTCAGAGAGGTGCATGCTTGGTAACACTTTGGAACATGTTCTGGGCTACAGCGCTCTCTAGGTCAGAGTTAGCAATGGCAAGTGGGGCCTCCAGCGGCAACCAGTGGGGAAGGCAGGGCCTGCAGCTCAGGCTCCACCCCCCCCATC